GAAGTTTCCTCTTTCAGAATATATATGAATTTTTTAAAAAAGACCAAATTTTTACTAACTTTTGTAGGAGATTTCCACCTCACTACCCGGTTTTCAGAGAGTTTTGTCGCGGTTTTTGTTATTTTGAGGAAGACTACTTTTTACTTCTATCAACATGGAATCAACATTCTTATATCATATAGTACGACCTGTAGTACTAGCTTACGGCATCTATTGCGTGCTTTCAAAAATTCCACATATTTATTATCAATATACCATTATTTCCTGCATTTGAATGAAAAAATCCATTTCTAAAAGTTCTTTAGCGTTTTTCTCAAAACATAGTTTTCAGTCAGAAAAACTGAGATAACTCACGCACGGTTCAAGATATAACACATCTTTTTTTTTGTTTTAAAGGTCTCAATGAGAGGAAACTTGTCAACAACCAGTTTTTTTAAAACTGATTTCTGGGCTGAGAAAAGTGGAATTTACTGTCGTCAGATCGCTGTTTTTTATGCTATTTTTAAGACATGCTTACTAAAATATTCATGAAAAATGAACAATACGGAATTTAAAAATTCTGGTTGATGAAAAGTTGCGTACTGACATTGGCTTTAATTTGAAACCACCCCCAGCTCTATATCTTGTATTGCGACAAAGCTATCCAGATTCTCCTGAAGGTCAAAAATGGCCTATGAATCAGCTGAAACTCCGGTCTAGTACGACCAAGCGGGCTGAAATTTTTCCAGAGACGTATCTCTCCAGGATCACTGATCCCTGAAATTTTCAGCTCAAAAGGCCCATTATAAGTGGGAAATCATTTCTGAGGAGGCCCCCTTAACGCATGCTTATATCTAATATCATCTATGGGTATATTTCTATCTTGTTATTCTAAGATCAAGTGAATCGAGTCTTGATCAACGTTATTTTTAATTTATTTAAAAATTAATCGTGAATCGAATGGTTCATATATAACAACTCAATTAAGTATATCAGTCATTGTTATTGCTTCTATAATTGAATAAGGTCCATCAGTTCTATATAGTTCCTTAAATTCATAGCCACTTTCTTTCAATAATTGTATGTATTCAGCTTTTGTTCTTTCTTTAGCATTCAGAAATGTTAACATTTCAATATCCATAACTCGTGCTACCCAATTATCCTTGTTATTCGGCAGAAGAATCATTTCTACTATGAAAATTGTGATGAGCTTCTGTTCACGACTTTTATTTGCAGCACGTATCGACTTTAATATTTTTATAGAATCTTCGTCATTCCAATCATGAATGATAAATTTCAATACATAAGAATCAGCTTGTGGTATTGTTTCTGGTTTGAACATGTCACCTGAAACAAATTGATAGCGGTTGGATTCAATTTTTTTTTGTTGAAATTCATTTGGACTTTGTTTCTGTGCATTTTCAATTACGTGGGCTAAATCAAATACAATACCATTTACTTTTTGATGTTTCTCGAGTATAATCGATAACAAAGTTCCTAAGCCACCAGCAACATCGACTATTTTTTCAAAGCGCGAGAAATCAACCAATGAACCAATTGACACTGTGCAATAATTTGAATATGTAATCATGGCATTGTCAAATATAGTTGAATATTCTTTATTTTCTTCTTTTTTCAGATAGTCGAAAAGACTACACCCAAAGGCTTGTTCAAATCCATTTCCGTATTTAAAACCATGTTGGATTAAACTAGGAGTGTATACAGACGGCTTATGCGTAGTAGGACCTAATTCTAGACGAATCAAGTCTCGAGCTTTCGAAGGATGATTACTGGTTAAAAATAATCCATTATCAGTGAGTTGAAAACGATTTTCATGTTCTGGATTACCAACAGTTTCATAATTCGTATCATTGACATTGATTTCTCTAACAATATCAGCGTCAGCAGCTGCTCGTAATAGTCGATAAAGAAATTCTGAATTCCAATCATTACCGTTCAATTGGCTTAGCTCAGTTGCTGTCAATGGCATTTTATGTTGTGCCATTAGATCCGCTATCCCGAGTTCATTAAAGGTCCACACAACTCGTTCCATACAACGATGAAAAACAAAGGACATGTATTTTGGTAATCCATCTGTTACTAATGGAGACAGAATTAAGTCGGTTCCTTGCTCTGCCATAGTTATGAACAGTGAATCTAAAAATCAGAAAGGATTTATTTACTCGAAGCAGAACAAGTTTTTAGGAGCTAAATGAAACCGACAAATGTTGATTCAAATATATCTTCAATAAAATACATATTCATGTATACAACTAATTCCTCATATAAAAATAAGAATATGAAAACATAGTATTTCAACTGGGAAATCTAAATTATTTCTTTAAAGAGACAAAATAAGATTATAATACTTTGCCGTTGATTAATACGGTATTCTCATCAATCTTCTTATAAAATGTATTTAGCGCATTACTATCGTGAAAATTATCATAAGGCAACAGTAACACACTATATTTTCTGTAATTCTATCCAAATGTGATAAAATAATTATTTCTACGCGATATTTCCTTTATAACATATGGGCTCTTTATCGAAATGAAATCCTTCTAGCGAGACGGATTGATAGAAAGTTTTTGAGCAAAACTCAACCAAGAAAAGACATTTCAGCGGAAGCAGACTTTAGGAAATAGAAAGTACGTAATAGCGAACAGAAAAATCTCAGGAAAGATTTCAAGATAATCTTTCAGGTGAAGTATTGTCCTTCTTAATGGAAACTAATTAAGAATGTTAGTTAGTTGTGTACAGAGAACAATGCAAGCTCACTCTAATTTTTTTTCATTTGTTACGCATCCTATATCACCTTTGAATCCTCGAGTCAAGAAATATTATAACCAATTGCGTTATCTACTTGAGCTTATACACAGAAAGGATCATTGGTGTAGCATCACTGGTAAAAATACAAAATTAAATCCAAGAAGTAATCGAATAACTGATTTTCTTTGGATGCAAATTATTCCACTATTATATGCATAAATAAAATTAATTTGTGACAAAATCAGATTACGCTCTTGTGATTGGAAGTGCAGTAGCTTACCTTTCTCTTGCTCTTTCGAATGACGATGAAAGCTATGAAGTGACATGCTGAACAAACATTATAATGCTCGTATCAGCGATTATCAATGAAGAATATCAACTTCATGCAAAACTGGGGGTTTTCCATGTAATCATAAATGCATCAGACGACGAAGTGCCAATCAAATTTTACCTGTGGACGTGCATGTATTGATATAGCTCTTGATTTCGGCTACATTCTTCTACTGCTCGCCTACCGATATTCTCTATTTCAAGTACCATCGAGAGTTTGTTTTCGAATCATCAACAAAACTCCATATTTTTTTCTTATCCATCGGAATAAATGAAGAGAAACAGTTGTGTTATGTCTCTTATCTTCGAATGACGACAGAACGGAGAAAAAGAATCCCCCTTCGCATGGAATCGAACCATGCACCTCCTGCTTACCGGGCAGACGT